TAAAGCAGCTGCAGCTCTGTTCTCCCCTCAATAATGAGCAGAATCCCAAGATACTTAAACTTCTTTCCATGAGGCAAAAACTCTCCTCCAACCTGAAGAGGACAAACCACCTTTTCCAGACAGGAATGAGTTCTGTTCCCTTTAAAAATCTTTTGGAGGCACTGAAGGTTAGGCTACAGTGCTATCTTTAGGCAGTTTGGCCCATTCTTTTTAACAGAATATCTGAAACACTGTTTAGATTGGATGAGATATATCTGTGCTCAGCTGTTTTCAGATCTCTCTAAAGATGTTCAGTCTGATTAACGTTTACCTGATTTGGCCAATGCATACAATTCAAAAAATGGTCCTGTAACCACTTTTTGGCTGTATGTCTTATTTTATTCTCCTGCTGAAAAATGAACTGTTTCCCTGGCCTGATGCTACGTTCACACTTCAAGCACTTTGAGCAGCAGAAGCAGCTGGCTTTGATGCAAAGTTTGGAGTGGATACGCATCAGGGCACATCAAAAGTTCTTGCTGCGTGTCTCGAGCAGCAGGAGCGACGCATCTTGATTCATCTGAGCAGCTGAAGCAGCGCCTCCTGAGCATCTGAGGTGCATGACGCCCTTCACAAACCACAGATGCTGGAGTTGAAAAAATTGAATTTTTTCTGCTCAATGCGCCACATCAACCAATCAGAGAAGCTTATCTGGGAGCTGGCAGGAAGGCAGACACAGCACTACTGATGTAGAGATTTATGATCACTCCCCTGAAACAGATTATTAGCTAAATTAACTTAAAATGTCAAAACCTGCTGGCTAAACAGGTCCTCTTTTATTATTCTGGTGCCTGCAGTTGGGATCACTTACCTGAATAACGCTAACATCTACTTTTGACTCCACAGCAGCCAGGAAAACCCCTAAGTGGTTACTGTAGCTGAGGCAGCTGCTGCTGGGGACTCCCAGTGACAGAACACCACCTGTATGTGGCGGTCTTAGCGGCTCAGACAGCCAAATATTAAGTATCGTAATCATGGTGAACTGACTTCACAGACAATGTTTTGAGGTGGACTTTCTTTATTTAAAAACATATTAAAACTATGTTTTACCCACTTATCACAAGGGATGTGAATTGAAAACCGGGTCCTGTTCAGAGCCGGTTTTGTGTGTTCCAATTACATGGCACTCTTTGGCAGCTCGCTCAACGATTCTCTTAACGATTTCAGGCAGCACCACAGCCTAGCGCTGGGCAGCATGACTTCATTTCGAGTTACGCACATGGCATTCAGTAAGCAAGTACGACCTGACCGGGCGTAAGTCTAGAAAAGCAAAAGACAAAGATGGCAACAAGGCGCTTTGCAATCATTGCAACGTGGCAGTTACATCCGTGGGAGGAAATACATCCAACAGGCAGAGACACCTGCGCACACAACATGGCACACATTTTAACGAATGCCGTGTTTTTGATGCTTCCGGACAGAAGCTAAAGTTACGACCAGCATGGAAGGCAACTCTGGTGGTAATTAGCTAGTTTTCTATCACTGGCTGTGCTTAATGTGGTACCTAGTAAATCATATTCCATTTCTGGAAATAAACCAATTTCCTACCTCTCTTTGGGGTTATTAAAATAGCTACGAAGTTGCAAAAATGAAGCAACGGGCGCATTTTTGCTGCCCCAAACGCATCTGGTGAGAACGTAGCATGAGGTTAAGAGCACTCTGGAGCAGGTTTTATCCAATATGTTTGTATATCGCTGTATTTATTCCTCACTCTACCCTGACTGGTCTGCTGAAACACATCACAGTATAAACAAAACATTTTCATCGGAATGTTGTACATCGGCAAAATACGTTTGGCCCCTCACCAGATCTACTACAAGAGAACCATCGTGCCCCTACAAGCATCAACAGCTAAAGCTTATTGTTTAACAAACCCCAATAAGAATTACAACATGAAATTTTCCTTTGGGATTATTAAATATCATGAAGTAGCCACCAACATCATAAAGACTAAGGAACACAGAAGAGAGATCAGGAGAAAGTTCTAGAGAAGTTAAAAGCTTGGTTTGGTTCTAAAACAAGATTCTAAGATTTGAACATTTGAGCTCTGTTCAGTCCATCATCTATAAATGGAGAAAGGATGACCAACTGAAAACATTCACAGACTTGGACTTCCAGCTAGCGGACAGGGAACGCATTAAAAAAGCTAAAATCGAATTCCTGTTGTAATGGTTTGCTGAACTTATACTTTTATATTTCACTTTTCTTTTTATTGAACTTTTTGAGGCTGCTAATTCTTTAACAGAAAAACTGAAGTCCCTTAAAAAGCATGAGGCCAAAACCCCATCTCCCCAAAGCTACTTTCCTGCTGCTTTTCGCTGCATCTCTTCTGCAATACAGTTTGCTTGTGCCTCAGTCAAGCTTTCGTGTAGACTGACAGTAAAAAAAAAAAATAAATGCAATGAAAAAAAATCGTAAAGTACACAGTGCAAATGACTCTTGCTAACAGCCAGATAATTTATTGCACCAACCATATAATATCTTATCTGTTTTGCTGAAGGAAATGGCGGAGCTGATTTATACAGCTTATGTGGTAAATTTCTCTGTAAAAACAGGTTTTAAAAAATGTAAGCAAATTCATAGTTGACAAACAGAGACATTTTTTTGTGAGAAAAACATCTTTACAGTTTTATCAGTTTTTCTCCCCTATTAAACAAATAAACACAGCAGTAAACCTAAAGCTAGACTCCAAAGGTACAGTAGTTATTTACCCATGATCATTTTATGATTCTGACAGTCACATCAACATGTTTCTGTTCTCATTTACCTTGTGCAACATTAATATTGTTATCTTTCAATACTGCTTCCTCGATTTCGCTCTCCACATACTTCAGGCTCCAAGGAGACTCCTCGTCCTCCAGAAGAATCACGTTGATAGTGATCCCGGCCCCACATTGTCCGTTGCCTCGACACAGAGCAGCAAATGCCCAAAAGGTGCACACTATCAGCCACCAGCAGCATGGGCTCATTTTCACCTTTAAAGTCAGGATAGATTAATCTGAGCAGCTAAAAAGAGTCCATGATACGCTGCAAGAAGAAAATCAGGTCTAATCCGCCAAAAAAACAAAAAGGCAGGTTCCTGTTGAGAAAAATCCAGGTTCTCCTCTCCAGGTCATTCACACTTCCTTGGTCCCTCTGAGCTGCCCTTTCCTCAGGGCCGTGTTAATATACAACCTTTAGAGTCCCAGAGGCAGGGCTTGAAACCTCCTTATGTTGTTGCGCAAAGGTCTTCCTGAATTATTGATTTTCTCAATAAAAAACAAAGAACAGATGTTAAAGGATCTAAATAAGGGGCGCGGTAGACCCTATGGTTGGACCTACAGATAGCAGATTCTTTTTTAATGGACTATTGGCAAAAGGGATTTACACTTTGGGCTACTTAAGAAGAGAGGATATTTTATAGATCAATTTTTACAAAAGTGTTAAATGCAAAATGACTGAGAGAAGTAAAGTTGGGTTGGCATGCTGTAAAAATTTAACAAAAAGGGAAGAGCCAAACTGCTTCATTTGGTAATAAAATCCAGGTGGCAGAGCTCACAATGATTAACAGTTTGCTGCCTAAGGTTTACAAATTTAGCCTCAAATAATGAGGAATAATAATACCATTTAAATCACAGGTTATCTTCATTATTTTACATCTCAAATTAAGCTGAGACATCTTGTCGTTAGATGTGACACTCTTACACAGCATGAAGAGTAAAGCAGAACTTCTCACCACTCCAACATTGTTCAACTTGATGAAACAATCTTGTACTGGATGGTATTCCCTGTACTTAGCCTGCCTCTACCTACCCTGGAGATCACCTCATGGCATGCTGAGCTCCCGTTCCTCCATCAAACTCACCAAACCCACCAGCCTGTCCAACATTGTCCACAGCCAGAGCTCATCAAACCTGTAAAAACATGGGAGAAGTCTCATATTTTCCTTAAACACTTTCTGCTGCATGGGAGAATTCATGCTGGACCCTATAAGGGTAGACAGATCAATCCTGCTGCAACAGTTTCCCCAGACCATGCCACATCCACCTCCATGCTTATCAGCTGCTGAGGTTTTTTCCCAGGAAACTTGTGTTTATGTCCCCATTATTGTGCTAATATAATTTAACTTAATTTCAGAGCCTTAAATAATAATATTTAAGAAATTCTTTCTTTGTTTTCTCTGACCTTCTCCGTCTATTCCATAAAAGACATGGTCAGCCATATAAACTCAAATATCTGCTGCTGTATTTAACCCTGCAGCTTCCACTAGGACATTTTAGGGTTTTTAATGGCTTTTTTTCACCACCTGTGGACTGTTTTCCATGCAATGGAGACTTCTTTAAATCCCTAACCAGACTTGGTGCACCACACTAAATATCTCAAGGTTTGAACAGAGAAGATCTTCGAAATGCTGAGTAATGATTTTCTTGCATCCACCTGTCATACACCTGTGTGGGACTTAAGTTAGTGCATTTTGTTACATTTTACTTAATCAAGCTCTGTTTGAATAAAGCATCTTGAGAGATTTATTCAAATTGATATCACTGTGTAAAATAGATCAAATTATGAGTTTTATTTATGTTTTCCTTATGTCACTTGTTACAGTACATCACTCTACAGCTTCTGCTAATCTGGTATTTAATATCTCTATAATGTGGTGGCTCATTGATCAGAAACAAATTAAAAAACCTAAGAAGGGCTTCAGAGAAGAGGAGAAGTTGCACTTTGACTCACTTAGACTGAGGGAATGGATGTTATTAACTGGTTCCCCATCCCCCCTTCCCTAATAGTATTTAAAGGATGGATGACATGATATATTTGGATATTTTAAGTAAAGTAAGTAGGACTGAAAATAAAAAAAAAATTAAAATACATGCAATTTTCTAAGCCATATCATGACATAAAATATCATGAAATGCAGTGTGTGTAAGGTAAAGGATAAAATGGAAAATCTGATGGTGATCTATGAAAAGAAGACATTGGATGTCTGATAAAAAAAAAATGCTTTAACTCCTAAAATGACCTTAAAAATTACAAAAAAAGAGGGGGGAAAAAGGTAATTTGTGCATATCAGCACCAGTGGTCAGGGCAGCTGATAATTCCAGTTGAGCGACCTTGATCATAATGTAAAAGAAAATGCACTGAGGGCTTCAACAGGAGGACATTGGAGGGATTGGAGCTAAGTGTATGTTTACACACATAAAAGGGGGAAATGGATTAACCCAGTCTGAAGGTTTAACAGGAATGCTGACTCAGGATGAGCGAATTGTAAGTTAAAGCTAATTACCTACTCACCCAGCAAGGCAAGAGCTGGAGATTTACTCTAAAACAGCGGTGGACTTAAACATTTTGGGCCCTCCTCCAAGTCTGCTCCAATTTCCTGAGTGTAAAAGATTGTGTAGGGCTGCAACGGTTTTAATACTTCAAAAGTATGACCCAAATAAGAGAACATTTTACAATCGCCACTCCTTGGCCTCAACAACTGAAGAATGAGAGAAATGAGCCGTCAGGAATAATTACAGATTTGCATATTTGCCTGGAAGGTGCAGTCGTTTAATGAACTTGCCCCCAGCATGTTTGGTTCTAAATGTAGGGCACAGAAAGTCAAATAAAGGATCCAGACAGAAATATAAATACGTAAATAATAGCGTAAATATAAATACCGGCCTAAATTTGATAAATCTTTAATACATGTTTTAATACTTCTGCCATACAAGCCATGCCACACAGGTAAAGAAAAAGGAAAGGGAGAAGGTGTAATTAATGGCTCAGTCCAAATACCTCAGATTATAGCTCCTAGCTCCTGTTCCTTCATCTTTTGCAGGGTTAAATGTAAGAACACTTTCCGATGAAGGAAAGGAGCTATGGACCCCTGCGTTGAATCTGAATAGCTTTTAGCCGAACAAATGTCGCTATTTAGGCTATAGGGTAACGCTGGTCAAGTTGGGACTAAAGCTTTTTAGAAAACTAGAAACAATAAAGAACGCAAATCAAAAGAACGCCTGAAGCTCTAAACTCAAGACAGTACATGTGAATAAATAATATATTTTTGTTAAACTCCATGAAACAGTTAAATGTTTAAATCCAGTTTATGCCCACAAAGCTCACATTGAGAAAAGTGAACTAGCTTATAATCGATGGACAAAGTTAGGAAAAGAGAACAGTTCCAGAACTTTCTATCAACTGTTTCGCCTGAGAGAGAATTTGGTGACATGCTGTTATCCCTTTGCATCTTTTTCTTGTTTGAGCTTTTATTTCTTTCTTTTGTGGCTCTCTGACTTATGCTGCGTTTTGCCATCCAGCTTATGAGATAACTGTGCTGTGTGTGGTGTGGAGGCCTCTGACCCCTTAGAAATCTGATATCATTCTGCTTCATTCTATCTCCAGTCACCCCCTCTGCAGAATTTGTTAGGTCAATCACTAAGGCTTTGCTCTCTCTGCTTTTTCTCGTAGTAGCTTCCTCTGGTCTGTTCCTGATCCGCTGTGACGCCGTTGTTGCTGCCATCAACACCTTTGTTTATAGACGTTTCAGCTAGGCATATTTTTCAGTGTAGTCCTGTTTCTCTGGCTGTGACTGGCTGGATGTGCTCTCTCATTATCTGACATGGCTGTGTGTTTCCTGGACGGGGCCGCCTTTGAAGCTGGTTGACAGTTAAATTTTGTATCTCTGCTTCTTTCTGTATCTCTGCTTCTGTCTCCTTGAACCCCAGTCAGCTTCGGCAGATGGCCGCTCACACTGAGTCTGGTTCTGCTGTAAGGTTTCTTCCTGTTAAAAGGGAGTTTTTCCTCTCCACTGTCACTACAAGCATGCTTAGTGTGAGGGATTGCCTTTCAGTCAATGAGTCGATCCAATCAACTGGTTTTCATTAGATAAAAAACTTTGAATCAATTTGACTGTATGATCTGGTTGAACTGTAAAGTGCCTTGAGATGATGTGTTTTAAATTGGCGCTATATAAATAAGTTGAACTGGATATAAAACCGACATGTCTGTGTTTTAAAAATACTTTTTTAGTATTTAAAAGTCTACTAAGCTTAATAGGTTGTTATACATTTTTTTGAAACTTTAATCACTTAGGTACAATTGCAAAAATAAAAAACAGAATATTTCCTAAAATGACCCAATGTTAGCTGAGACTGAGTAAAATTTTACAAGTGGAAAATCTGAAACATGTTATTCTGACCTCACCTGTATTCGCTCATTCTTAGACTCTTTCTGACTCGTTGCTTCTCATCAGATACTCCTGCTTCTTTCAACAGTCTAAAAATGTGACTCTTAGGTTAATTTTACTGTTAATGTTACTGTTAATATTTCTGCTGATTCAATTCAAAGCATTTTTTTGATCAGGTTGTCATTTTTGCAATAACTTTGGAAAGTATTTGCTTAATGGTTTGGTTCCGTATTATGGCTCAAGGGTTTAATATTATCTTTACCATTATTGATGTTCATTGATCTATAAAATCTTTAATTCTGTGCCATCATCAGTGTGAGATAAGGGGGATAGTTATTGTGCATGAGATTATGCTTTGGTTTCAGAGCAGAGTCCATCCCCATCTTAAGAAATGTCATTTTTTCGATAATTCTGAAAATATAAAAAAAAAAACCTATGGTAAAGTCTTTTGTTCTATAATATGAATAGTAAATCCACTTAACACATTTATTTAATTGAACTATATTAATCTCACATTGGAGGATTTTACCTCTTGGGGAACAGTGGGCTGCCGTAGTGCGGCGTCTGGGGAACAGTGTGGGGTTCACGCAGATCTAGAGTGGCATTCTGTGGGAGTGGGGCTCGAACTCAGAACCTCAGGATTCCAAGCTCTATGCCCTAAGCACTAAGCTGCCACTCCCCTTGAAGTATATCGTAAATTATATCCCAAAAGGAAGATCTAAAATATTGATTCAGTGAATATGGCACAAATCTTCCCTTTCTGCCTTTGAAGTTGATAGGATTGTTGTTTAGAAGCACTTTAGAGCTATTGTTTAAAAAGCCCAGGTATGTCTGTTTTTACACGTCTTTGTACTTTATGAATGACTAAAAGGCTAATTATTTCAGAAAGTACATTACCATGTTTTTCTGGTTGTGTTGCTGTGATAGCTACCCAAAGGAAAGGCACCGCTGAAATGAGTAATGTGCTGTCAATGTTAGCTAAACTAACCTGTTTCTGTCTGTCCTAACAGTTAAAAATCAGCTTTGTTACTGTTCTGGTCCCATTAACCCTACAGTGGGAGGTTCCCAGTTGAGAATTTCTCTGACAGACAAAGAGAAGAATGATTAAGAAGCTCGTTTTTAAAACTCACAGCTCCATTTTATTATAACCACAAGGAACCAACCTTGACTTAAAGGTAGGACCACAATATATTTCTAAATTAAAAAATTATTAAAGCATGCTATTTTTTAACCTTTTTCAAACAGTTTAAACAATTATCTCTGTTCTTTCCAAATTAAAATAAACTATTAAAGTCCAATGTTTTTTTTTTCCCTTGCATCATACTTTACGCCAGATGCCAGCTTTACTTCTCTTTGTGATGCTGACAGCTTGTGCTGCAAGACCACAGGGTAAGGCGCACACCTTCTAACAGCGCATTTTAAGGCATTTCCTTGGAATAAAATGTTACTAAAATTTGAGGGTTTTCTTTAAGAGAGCATATTTTCCCATCAAATTGCAAATGCGGAATATTTAAAATCTTGTGTCTCTGTAGATCTGTCAGGAAAGATGTTTACGTTTCCAGAGGAAACCAACACAGCCAGAGTGATGCTGAATACATCCACAGAGAATCTGGATGCAGTGACAGTCTGTTTGAGGTGTTCTTATAAGATAAACTAAATGAGGAAATCTTAGATAAAATAACCACAGGCTGTAAATAACTGTAATTAAGCCCTTGTGTTTAATTTATTTTTTGTGACACTCTTTTATAGGTCCTTTACAGACCTCTGCAGACTCCACAGCCTTTTTTCTCTGGCCACACCGTCGACTAATAATGGATTTTGGATAGCCAAAGACACAGCTGACACTCTTTCTCTCTTTGTGGACAACAACGTACAATATTATACAGGACCGGGAAATGAGGCGAACATGTGGCACTCTGTTTGTTCCACATGGGACTCTGAATCTGGGCTGGGCCAGATGTGGCTCGATGGGAAGGCTTCACCCCGGAAGTTTCATGGTGGATCGCCGATTAGACGCCCGATTGTTATCCTAGGACAGGTATGCCTACAGTATTCAGATATTTATTTAGAAAATGTACTATTTGAAGGATCAAGTTTATGTATACGTTTTTCTTTATGATTTTGACTAAACATTGCATTTATCTTTTAGGAACAGGAAAGTTATGGAGGTAGTTTTGACATCAAAAAGTCCTTTACTGGAATGATGTCTGATGTCCACATGTGGGATTACGTCCTTTCTCCCTGTGCAATCCAGAATTACGTGGATGATCTGAATTTCACTCCAGGGAATGTGTTGAACTGGAGGGCTCTCACATTTGATATTACTGGAAGGGTGCTGATAGAAAACAAACAGCTGATGTGCCACTAGAGCCACTTCACAACAAAAGGCCTTTCTACAAAACTCTGGCTTAAGGAAATACAAGTTCTTCTGCTGTAAACATAACCAGACTACTGCATGTGAGAGAGAAATTAAATGAGTTTGATTAGAGGTAAAAATAAAAGCATTATCATTTAAACTTTGTTTAATATACCCAATTAAATTCATGCTATTTTGTACCAAGACCTCCATCTGTGTTTAATGGTTCTTCCATGCAGTTTAGCGAAGCATAATATCTTTTGCTGTTGAATTATATGCCTGGTCTTCATGGGATTTAATTCTCATTGTCTGCATACGTCCAGAAAAGAGAACGGCAATATTTTACAGATCCTAAGTTTAACTCTAAACCAAGCAAACAGGTAACTTCTAAATAAAGGCCAAACCTTTAAAAGCAGAGTAAAGTTTTCAAGATTTTTAGCTCGTCGTAACACACACACCTTTAAAGTTTGTACTCCTGACTTCCACCATGATTGATCTTTATTCCTGTCGAAATGTAAATAATGGACACACCTATTAAGTTTTGTAAACCAGCAAATTCTGAATAAATGAACTCACTACTACACCGTTGGATCATCTGTTATTTAAAGTAAGCTTTGGGAAGATAGTACTGGCAGTGTTGCAGCTCCTCCTTATGGTTGTTGATGTATGAATCAATTTAACATGTTTCCAAAGTTTTCTATCTAAGGAAAACCAGTTGATTACATCGACTCATTGACTCAAAGGTAATACCTCACACTAAGCATACTTCTAGCGACAGTGGAGAGGAAAAACTCTGTTTTAACAGGAAGAAACCTCCAGCAGAATCAGGCTCAGTGTGAGCGGCCATCTGCTGAGGCCGACTGGGGTTCAAGGAGACAAAAGCAGAGCTACAAAAGGTAACTGTAAAAGGCGGCCCCATCCAGTAAACACACAGCCAGGCTGACGGGCTCCAAGCCAGCTCCCATGTCAGAGGATGAAGAGAGCTCATCCAGCCAGTCACAGTCCGAGAAACAGGACTTCACTGAAAAACAGGCAGATCGCATTAAGTTTTTTTAGAAAATCATCAGGAAATTAACAGATATTACCTTGCATGCTTTTCATGGCAAAAATAATTTCTTCCACAGTTAAAATTGGTCCAATTTGTTAGCAACATTTATTTCAAATTAATCAGAGGGAAATTATGGTCATCGAGGAACAAGATAATTGCAGTATTATCAGATGTAGACTCTGATTTTTTAATAGAGATTTATATATAGTTGAGCCTAAATGTATCATTTTGTCATCTGACAGAAATAGAGGATTGAACTTCTAAGATGATAAATGTTGAGGCTGAGAGGAAACCCTAATATCTTGCAAAAGGAGGACAAGGTCAGAAAAAACAACAGGATGATAGTTAAACATCTGCACAGCTGAAATTAGTTTATTGACCATGAAAATTAATCAATCTGAGAAAATGATTTATGCATTTGGGAGAATAAGGAAATTCTTTATTATGAGGTTAGAAAAATCTCCAAAAAGATCAATGCAGCTGAATGCAACATTATTGATGTCAACATTTGTGGAATTAGCTTAGTCTGGATCTGGTTTGGTTACAGAATCCATGCTGCCTTCAGATATAAGAATCTTATATTTAATTAGGATATGGATTAATAAAGTATTTTTGAATTGATTGAATAAGTGGTGGAAGAGTTTCAAAGAGACTATTCATAAAGTTTAGATCATCAAAATTGCGAGCATAGATATTCACTAGTATGACAAGAACACGGAATAATATACCAATCCCAGGTAGATATATCTGCCATTTGTATCTGATATAAGATTATTGAATGAACTACAGGAGCTCCAACAAACATGTCCTTCTCCAACAAACACTTCGGCAGAAGTTACCGGTAATATATTTAAACAAATTGAAACATTTGATTTGGTTGGCTTTATAATAGGCATAATGTTAATATGAACTACAGAAACTGAGTTTTTGATTTGAAATGAAAGATGAGGTTTCAAGCTGAGCTATAATACATCTAGTGAGGTCTAACAGTATTGGTGATGTTATATTATTCCAAAGGCCCCAACAGAGAAACTTGCTTCCTCTAAACAGTTGCATATATATGGATAAAAAGGAATGTTTTCTATAATTTTATCGAGAATTATAAGATATCTGGTTCATTTTACACATAAAGTGGCCATAAAGACAACATTGGATGCTTTATTTCTCTTTAATTTATTCAGGACAGAGTTTGATAAATGATGATAATTTCTTACCTATTTAAAGTATTGTTTGGTTATGAAAAATCAATCAAAAGTTGTGGCTGTGATCTATCTGTTGTATGTGTACAAAATGTTAATACAGTTATCCTACTTGGTTATATGTATATTGATTGTGTCAACAAGTTGTAGATATATAATTTAAAGGACGACTCTCCCTGATACTTTTTGTAGCTAACAGAAATTATATATGGGGGTTCTATAGAGTACCTGTCCCAAGCCTTATTTGACAAAATACTGCATTTGCTGCAAGTTTGCTTTTGTGTTTTCCGCCCTCCTCAGGTTTAAAAAGTTACTGCATTAGATTTTGTTATGTGGCTTCCCTGTTACTGAGACATTACCATGGCAACTGACTCCAGCAGCCCTGGCAGGGGTATAAAAAGTGCTGTCGTCTCTACGTGCCTCCATAGAGTGAATGAAAATGCAAACCTTCATTTTAACAGTTTACTCTAATCTTCACATAACCAATCATCTAAAGATTGAGACCAACTTGCTGTTAGGAAAATTTTTTATCATTCATTAAAAGGCTTGTTAAACCTGAAATAATTAGTGCTAACGACTCCATTAACAGTTACGTTCACATACTTTTTGAAAGGCAGACCCTGAAATATATTGTCGCACAAGCTTTTGAGGAAATCACTGACTGCAGTTAAACGAATCCTGTAACTGTCCATGAGACGTCTGCTCCTCTCAGCAGCTATGCTGGTTCTCTCCTCGTGAGCTTACTGCTCTAGTTATCTGAGCGTTACCTTTACCAGACAGTGTTTCTGCTCCCTCCAAAGATGCTCAATAGGATTTAGATCAGAGATCTGGAGCCCCACTGCAGAATATTCCAATGTTTTTCTCTTAAGTCAATCGTGGGTAATTTTAGCTCTGTGTTTTGTGTCATTATGTTGAAGAGCCATGACCTGATATGGAGACCAAGCTTTCTGACACTTGGCAGCACATTTCTCTGTAGAATCCCTTGATATTCTAGATATTTCATAGTACCCTGGAGAAAATCAAGAGCAGTGTTGTATAGTAACAAAGTTAAAATACTTCACTACTGTACTTAAGTATATTTTGGAGTACTTTATACTTTCCAAGAGTATACATTTTTTTGAGAACTTTCACTTTTACTTCACTACATTTACAAACTTAATTGCATACTTTTACTCCGATACACTTTCAGTGTTTGGTTTAGTTACTAAGTAAAAAAAATAAATAAATAAAAAACGAGCGAGAGAGACGCAAGTGTTTTAACCCATACTGACTACAAAGTTGGGTCTTGCCTGGGCTTGTTCATCAACACCAATAGGATACCGGTACGTCTTTTTCACAAAGCCAGTCTAAATTGATCCTACACTTGGTTTGTTTATATTCTTTTAAGTGAATTTAACCTTCAAAGTTTACCAAAATGTAAAAAAAAATGTCATTAAAACTGCACTTACTTTTTACTTATACTTTCCACTACATTACTTGAGTACATATAAATTTACAGTAATTCTTATACTTAAGTACAGCCATTTCAGATACTTTAAGACTTTTACTCAAGTAACATCTCAGTCAGTGACTTGGACTTTTACCAAAGTCATATTTTGGAGAGGTTCTTATACTTTTACTGGACTCCGAGATTTCAGTACTTAATACAACACTGATCAAGACACCCTGTGCCAGATAAAGCAAAGCAGCCTCAAAACAGCCTCCTCTATGTTTCACAGTAAAATAATCCTCTTTTCTTGACCTACTTAATTTTTCCCTCTGTGAGATTGAACTGATGTGTCTTAAATATTCTTCCAGAAACTTTTTGGCTTGTCAACATGTAGTTTGCCAAATTCCATTCTGGCTTTTTTATGGTTTGTTTTCAACACTGTTGTCCTCCTTGGTCATCTCCCTATCGAGTCCACTTTGGCTCAAACAACCACATATGGTGTGACCTGACACCATGTTCATTGATCTTGAAGTTCACCTTTAATCCATGTAGAAAAATGTCTGGGCTCTTTTGTTTCCACTCATATTATCCATCTCATTTATATGTCATCAATTGTCCTCCTGCTGCCACATACAGGGAGGTTCAGGTCTTCATTTTCTAAATATATGCAAGTGCAACTGTTGTCAGAGGAAGATCAAGCATCTTCAAGCAATTATGCTTGGATATGGTCTGAGAGCCTTTAGCATTCACATGCCTGTCTATGGGTTTATCTCCTATATCCTGAGACAATTCTTTCCTTCACTTCCTCTGGTCCATGTTGGGTGTGGTACACACCATGTCACTTAGTGACTACCTGTGGCGCTATATATAGAATCACTGATTGATTACAAGATTGTAGACACCTGTGACACATGAATGTGATTTAACATCCCTTTGGTCACATTATTTTTACTCATTTCTGGGAGGACCATCATTTCCAGGCCTGTTTCATTAGCTTATTTTTTAAATCATTTAGTGGAAGCGTGGTTGGAAAGCATCATCTGATTTCAAATTTTTTGATTTCATATAATTGTCTTATTATTAATTTTGTCAGAATTCGGTTATATCTGTGACTAGGGGTGGGTATTGCCAAAGAAGTCACGATTCGATTCGAATCACGATTCACAGGCCACAATGCGATTCTATCACGATGCATCACGATACTTGAATTATTGCGATGCACTGCAATATTTTCTCCTCCATGTTTTGTTTTTGAATGACTCGGCGCAGTATCCCGCAGCCGGAAATGCTTGTGACACAAGGCAGCGACATCTACTGGACTGGAAGTTGTATTACACTTGTTTTTGGCTGATGTTCGCCAACCATTCATGCAATTTTATTTATGAATTTTTTTTAATTAATAATCGATACTTGGCATCAAGAATCTATTTTTTATCGAGGTGCACATGTGCAGAACTAGTGCTAAATGCAAAATTCTACATGGCAGATTAAGGAGGGCTGTGAAACTCTCCAACTGCCTCTGCGTAACCTTTCGTCACACACCAATTTTCCTTTTTCTGTCCATTTGTGGTGAATAATTTGCAAGGTGCTTTAAGATGTCTAGCTCTTTTTTTATTAAAGGGTAATTGGTTTTATAAAGAAACACAGTACAGAACATTCAGACACTTTATTGGTTGTATTAGTTCTCATTTTTCAACATCATGTTAAATAAAATATACAGTAACTGGACTCGCTGCAGCAACAGCCTCCCTGAGCTGAACACAACTGT